AGCAAAAATGCATCTGATACGTAGCTCCGATACGTAGCGATGCAGACAGAAGCGTGTAGAGTATGAGCCAATCAGTGGCAGTACAGTAATGACAGAGCATGCGCTGTTACGCAAAAACCGCGATAGAGTGAAGCCGCCGTGGAAGTCAAAGCGTGAAGTGGCGAGGGTTCACTGTATTGAGTTGTAATCCAAACTGAAGGCTGTAATCCTTGATTGTCATCAGCCAGTACTTCCAGTCTTCCTCACTTCCAGCAAGCAAGATGGTATTATCTGCATATCACAAGTTGCTAATAAACCTTCCTCCAATCCTGATGCCACATTCTTCTTCATATAATCCAGTTTCCCTGATGATTTTCTCAGCATAGAGATTGAATAAGTATGGTGAGAGGATGTTTAAGCCAGGCAGCATCCCCTTGTTCTGTTTTCACAACTTCCTCTTGATCCATTACAAGTTCCTCATGAGAACAATCAAGTCTTCTGGAATTCCCATTCTTCTCAAGGTTACTCATATTTTATGATGATCCGCCCAAATGAATGCCTTAGTATAGTCAATGAAACACAAGTAAATATCCTGGTATTCTGTGCTTTGAGCCAAGATCTATCTGACATCAGCAATGATATCCCTTGTGAAAGATTGCTTTACAAAAATTCAGTAAACATTCATTGAAAACAATTTCATTCCAAGTTTAACAAAAATGAATTATATTATTTCCAATTATTCTTATTACTGAAATCTGTAATCCAAATGTAAATGGAATGACCCAAAAGATGATGCGAAGCATCAAGGTGTTGGTACATCACTTCACCGTCCTGGGCAATCGGAAATAGGCGCCACAGAGGAGCTCTTGCAATTCGGGCTTCCCTCGTTCTCTATTTCCCCCCTTTCTTCCATATTTGATTTCCCTTTCGTGCAACCCCAATAATAAGAATTCCTTCTACAAGCCATGATCTCCTGACTCCACAATTGTCATTATTGTTTCTTTTTCTCAGCTGAGTATTTGTAGTGTCTCCTAAAATTTACCTATAGAGTTGTATTTTATCAAAAGTGTTCACTTCTTTAATATTAACTTCTCCAGCATGAAAACCATTTGACCTTCCAAATTTCAAAATAAAATCTACTTAAAATCAGCGTTATCAGAAAAATAATACCATTCTAGTAGGGGTTCTATTTACATATGTTGGTGAATTTATAAACATGATTGTGGAAACTAATCAAATCAATGTATTGTTATCACTTTTGCCACCATTGCCATGATTTGGAATCAACACAAGGACAATATGTCACCACAGCTTTGATTGCTTTGTTTGTTTTCAAACCTTTCAAGTTCTCTTAGATAAAATAAACAAATACATAGAAAATGAACGTTACTCAGGGTGGAAGAAAGAGCCCTGGTGATACAGTATTTAGTGTTTGGTTGATCTCTGAAAGGTTAGTGGTTCAAACCCACCAGCCCCTCCATAGGAGAAAAATGTGGCAATCTGCTTCCATGAAGATGAAATCCACTGTCACTGTGTCAATTCCAACTCATAGCGGCCCTACAGGACAAAGCAGAACAGCTCCATAGCATTTCCGAGGCTGTAAACTTTATGGAAGCAGACTACCACAGCTTTCTCCTGTG